GATGATCTTACATTTTGGAGTCTCTTTCGTTGGGGGACAAAAGGTCTCTTTCGTTGTTTTATTTTGGAGTTACCCCCAGAGATGCTCAGGGTTTACTCCTGGCTCGGCACTCAGGAATTATCCCTGGTGGTGCTCAGGGGACCATATGGGATGCCGAGGATCGAACCCAGGTAGGCCACATGCAAGGCAAACCCTCTCCCCACAGTACTATGGCTTGGTCCCAGGATGATCTCACTTACATGTGGTACATAGAATAATTGAATGAGAGAAAGCGATGTTTGATGAGATGACCCCACAGTACAGGGGGAGGAGAAAAAACAAAGAAGGAAAGAAATCAAGGGTGGAGGGGAGAAATAGATAGGCAGCAATGTGGAGCAGGGGTCAAGGAAATGTGAGCACGTGGGGGTATAAAGGAACAGGATAGCTAAACATCGAAACCACAGTCAACAACGCTGAAAACAAGAGACCCAAAGTTCAACAGCCAACTTTAAAAACATGCCTGTCCAGGAGAAAAGGCTGGGGAGTAGGGCTGGGGGTGGGGGGAGGTTGGGGGTTATTTATGGTGACCTAGGATCCCTAGTGGAGGAAAGGTGATATTTTCTTTGGTGCTGAAACATAGTAAGGAATTGGTGCTGAAACACAGTATACCTAAAACTCAACTGTGAATAATTTTGTAAATCATGTTGCTTTGATAACTTTTTAGATCTGGGGCCAGGGAGATGGTTCGGCAGGCTCAGGGCCTGCTCTGCATGCAAGAGGCCTGGATGCATCTGCTGGTACCGCCTGGTCCCTCAAATATAGAGCAACCCTCTGAGCACAGGTCAGGAACGGTCCCTGAGTACTGTTGGATGCGACTTGGAAATGATTATTAAGATGTTTCAGGGGCTGAAGCAATAGTACAGCAGGTCGGGTGTATGCCTTCCACATAGTCAATCCGAACTGGATCTGGGTTTGATCTTACGGTCCCCTGGCCCCACTACGAGTGATCTCTGAGCACAGAGCCAGGAATAAGTCCTGTGCACCTCTGGGTGTGGCCCCCAAACAAAGATGCTTCAGACATATTTGGGTGATGCTGATGCTCCAGAAGTGTGCTCCTGGGTCAGCACCCCATTCGCCGCTACCCCTGACTTCCTACTGTTGTCCTTGTGAGTGCCCACTCAGGATGCCAGCCACCATATCTGACAGATAAGAAAAGCAGGATGCAGAGGATTTTAAATGACTTACTCAAGGTCCCTCGGGTAGGCAGAAGCAGATCAGGAACCAGAACTTGGGTCCTCTTCCCAAGACACCCCATGTCCCCAACCTCTGAATGTGAAGGAAATCAAACCACGTTTGAAGCAGTGTCTCTGATGCTCTTGGCTCTGTAGTCATTTTAATTATAAATCACACTGGAAACTAATGAAGGCATCAAAGTTTGTGACATGGATACAGACCAAAAGTACTGGGGAAAAGAACAAGGAAGTAGAACACTTCCTGTGTGATTTTGAATTTAAGTAATCTAAATTTAAAATATGACTTTGGAGAGTAACAGAGTAGGGGAGAGAAAAACTGAGTAAAATCACACCTTAACTTAACTAATCTGAATGTATCAGATAGCTTAGATTTTTCTTCTACAAATTCTTAAAAATGCAAGAATTCATGGTGATACACTTCATAAAAATAAATGAGTAGTTATTGAAACCTTGAATAGTCTTTAAGACCAGTGATATTATTTTTCTCATAAGGTAAATATACAGACACTTAAACTATTTTGAATGTATGGGTAGAAGTATTATTGGTGTAGAACATATATGTCATTTACAGCAGGTAGGGTGTTTGCCTTGCATGCAGTTGCCCTGGGTTCGATTTCTCCATCCCTCTCAGAGAGCCCGGCAAGCTACCGAGAGTATCCTGCTCTCACGGCAGAGTCTGGCAAGCTCCCCGTGGCATATTCAATATGCCAAAAACAGTAACAACAAGTATCACAATGGAGAGGTTACTGGTGCCTGCTCGAGCAAATCAATGAACAATGGGAGGACAGTGCTACAGTGCTACAATAGTATGCTGACATGTATAACCTTAGTATTAATTTTTCTTAGCTGCATCAGTTCCAAAGAGAAATGGGAGCTTTCCTATATTCACTTTCCTACATATCCCTCACTGGTGTATCTCCTTCACCCATCCTGTTCCCTGGGAAGCTCTACCTCTTTTCCCATGTTCAGAAACTGGTTAACTGGGAAGATATTTAAGAAGAAATCAGGGGCTGGAGCGATAACACAGCGGGTAGGGCGTTTGCCTTGCACGCAGCCAACCAGGGTTCGATTCCCAGCATCCCATATGGTTCCCCGAGCACCACCAGGAGTAATTCCTGAGTGCATGAGCCAGGAGTAACTCCTGTGCAATGCCGGGTGTGACCCAAAAATAAAAATAAAATAAAATAAGAAGAAATCAAGATGTTTCTTTGGAAACATATATACTCTTGAAAATGACCCTACACGCCCTATCCTAAAGAAAAAAGAGAAAAAGCAAACAAACAAACAAACAAAAACACCGACCAGATTGTGATAGTGTCGATAATGCAGTGTAATGATGTGGTAAGTACAGCATGCCACGTATCCTACAATTCCACCACTCCTTCAGCAGAGCCAGCAAGATGTGTGTGTGTGGTGTGTGTGTGGGGGGGGGGGGGGGGCTTTGTTTCCATCTTAGCAGCCATCCTAGCAGCCATCAGAACCTAGGGACCAGCAAAACAGTCTTCATCTGAGCACTGTGTTGTACAGTGATGCTGTAATGCTCCTTGCATCGTGCCTGCTAAAATTAACCTGCACTTGGCAGAAATGATCACAACACTTTCAATCCCGGTGTTCTGAGAGACGCAGGCAGCACTAGCAGGGAGCTGAACTGCATGAGGGACCCAGTCTGAGGTCACCCAGGGAGAGGCTGAGTGGGAGTAACCTTTGAATCCCACCGGTACAAAAAAAAAACACATCACAGCCTCCATGCCCAATGGGGGAACCCAAAAGCTGCCATGCAAGCTCAAAGCCCCAGTTTCTCCTAGCCTTCTGTCTGCATTTTGATTTCTTTTTTCATCAGAAGGTGGGGGTGGGGGGGGCGAGGGGGGAGGCTGGGGGTAGGGATAGTTCCATGATGGATGAGCAAAAAAAAAAAAATGGTTCCACTTCTTTCTCTGCAGGAGTGGAGTTTCTCCCTCTCAAGCACCACCCTCCTGATGAGGCAAACTCCTTCAGAGCCAGAAGCAGGTTCTCCTCAGCCTCAACCTGTCTAGACTGCCTTTGGTTTTCAACGAGAGCACACTCAGTGACCTTACTCTACACAGCCCAGCAAACCACACAGCTCAGGAGACAAATGCAAGGCAAGGGTTAACCAAATCTCTTGGAAACAAGACAAGGAGGTGTGCAGGTGCAGAATTGCAGCCTGCCACCGCTCATCAGGGTGCAGGTTCCCCAGGCCCTGCACAAGCTCTCAGAGAAGGAAACATTAGGCTTTTCTTGACTTACTGCTTGAAAAAAAGAGGGGGGAGAGAGAGAGAGAGAGAGAGAGAGAACAAATGTTCTGTTTTCTCAGCATAGACCTGAACGCACAGTAGTTGCTTCAGTGAATTTTTGCCAAATAGTCAAAATGGTTTACAAAGATTTCGTCTGAGTGATGAAATCTTTGCCACCCTGCATGCAACTTCCAGAGTGATTTGGCGGTTCCTGTCCCATAGATAGTCACCGTAGGACCAGATGAGCTGCCGCAACAGATGATGGCCTTGTGCCTGTGGGCACCAAGACGAAGTTCTTGCTAAGGTATGGAAGACATACACAGTAGAATCATTTGCTCTTGCTTTTTTTTTTATTTAGTCCAACACATCAGTACAAGAGAGGTCAACCCCAGCTCAGTGGAGGTCATTTAAACTACCCCGGCTAAAGGAATAAACCTGTAAAATAATGATTTATAGCCCCAATCAAATTCAATCAACCAAAAAAAAAAAAAAAAGAAGGCAGCAAAGCCCTCTTAAAAATCCTAACAATCACATTTTCCATGCACCACAAAAGAAAACACAACATAAAAAATTCCAGTTAAAAGAAAAGATGGCAGTTCCAGAAAAATTTTGCTCATGTATTTAACAGGTTCCACTGGACTATTGGATTGACCATTTGCACTCTGTGATCATTTACCCATAGGTAAAAATTTGTGACATAGAATTTGTTTTTGTTTTTTTTTTTGGGGGGGGGGTTTGTACTTGGGAGCACAACTAGTGATATCCAGGAGGGAACTCTATGCAGTCCAGGGACAGAACCAAGGTCTGGCACACACAAGACAAACATCTTAAGCCCTGTATTCTCTCTGGCCTTAAAATTGGAGAATTTGAGATCAGTGCGATTAAAAGTGGACTGCATTGTTTGTGTTGGAAGGTATAATCTATACGTAATTGCCTCAAGTCTCATCCCCGTCAACCCTGAACAGGGACCTAATTTATAAGGGACTCTCCCCGAAGCCGGAACTGCAAATCCTGGCAGAAATCAGCAGTTGGTCATATGGATTCGGGGCCTCTCATGGCCTGTACATGCCCTGCACTGCTACAGGAGGCAGATAATTAGTCTTCTTTCTTGGATAAAGCTGATCATCTGATTTGTCAACGCTTTGCTCAGAAATATAAAATTCAATATAGTACCCCACCCCCCCGAAAGAATATTATTTATACAACACCTTAATTATCAAAATATTAACAAACAGCATCATGTTAACATCGAGCATTGTGGTTCGGAGAAAAGATAACTCTAAAAACCAATCGTAACTACACAAGAAAAACAGACCTGAAACACTACATGTTGGAATTCCCAAAATGCCGAGGCAAAAAAAAAAAAAAAAAACACAAAACCAAAAAAAAACAAAAACGGAAATCATTCTTAGACAGGTTTACAAAGCAAATCAGGCATGGTCCAAACCTAACACCAAAGTCTTGGTTTATACTCACTATTTCAAATTCCATGTTTGGAACAAGATTTTGAACACCTAGTTTTTTAAAAACTGCGAATACACGGCGTGATCAGAAGAAAAACTTTAAAAATAAAAAAAAGGAAAACCTCAGTAAACCAACAAACCTTCCGTCTGGGAACAAGACTGGTCTGCGAGGGTACCTTTTGACTGTAACTGGCGACTTTAAGGTGATGCTGGTCAGAACCCAGCTCAGCTGGGGTGTTAAGCTTTCCTCCCCCATCCTACAGCATCCAGTCCTTTAAAAAGCTCCGATCTCGGTTCCCCAAGGTCTATAGGGCTTGCCGAGGTTTGCTGCCTGCGTGGGTGCCGAAGGGCTCAGTGCATTGGGAGAGAGTAAGTGGAAGGAGCCGAAAGAGAAGGGGAAGGCCGAGAGGGAGGACAGGAGGGGCGGCGAGAGTTTGGAGGCGGAGGTGACCACCGGCAGCACCGGTCCAAGGCCGCCGCTAGGGGGCGCCCGCAGCGCGGGCGGCTCCGGATGGGCCGAGGCCAACCTGGCCTGGGGGTGCGGTTCCGTGGGCGACGCGGCCGTGCCGCTGTTCCCGGGGCCGTTCTGGGCGAGCAGGAGCGGGTGCGCGACGTGGGGGTGGTGGTGTCCGAAGGCGCTCCCCCAGGGGATGTGTCCGAGGCCCGCGTGGGCGCCGCTCGCGGCTTCCCGCTGGGAGGCGTAGTTGTTCAGATGCGAGACCAGCCGCACGCGGAGCGGGTCCGAGGCGTCCAGTCCCTCGATGATGCTCAGGTAACGGGCCACTTCCGCCAGGCATTCCCGAAACCCCAAACTCCGATAGTCCATCGCCAGCGCGTGAGCATCAAAATAACCTGGGAAATTGAACAAAAGGGGGAAAAAGCTCAGGGCTCGGCTCATTCCCCGCAGTTCTTCAAACCCAGGGGTTGGTTGCCCTTCCTGGCTAATACCTACATCCTTAATGAAAAAAATTTTTAAATATATATATTTTTAAAAAAAAAAAAGCATTGCCGGGTGGTTGTCCAAATATTTGGGAGTCGACCAAAATCTGTGCATTAATCAACATGAGAAGTATGCGCTTGCTAATGCAAGTTCAAAGCCCAATTAGAAGCTGCCGAGCAGAAACTGGAATTATACCCTACCAGCAGATGAAACTATGCTCATTCCTTTAATGTTTTCCCTCAACAACAACAAAAAATACATCAAGGACAGAGAAACCACAGAGCAGTGAAATTCATTAGACACACAGATGTAAGTTATCATCATGGAGCTTTTAGGCACTTGGTCCTCAGTAAAGCATTTTCCGGCTGGAGACAGACACACAGACCTGGGTCTCCCACCTTCTACTGGGTTTTCTCTACCTGACCTGGACAGTCAGTAGCAGCTCATGCTTTCCAACTTCCATGTATCAAATTAAGACCACACACTTTAAAAAAAAAAAAAAAGGAAAGCCCTTATTCAAAATGGCAATACACAAATGTGACCAGAGCGCCCTGATTTTAATAGCAGTTGTCACTTTAGGGTGCCTCACACAGAATAAGGGGTTCCCGAAAGAAGGTGCATTTTGTTTAAGTTGCACGGGGCTGGGTAATGAATTCGGTGGCGAAAATCCATGCAACGTGCATTTTGAAAGGCACTGACGGGCTATCACCCATCACTCACCGTTTGCTCCCCACCTTGGAAACACAGTGAAAATAAGGCAGCCACTGCGCCAATCCTGACCTGCCACAGCTGCTCATTCAACCCTGCCCCAGGCCCTAGCCAGGGAGAATGAGACTCACCTTTCCCTCCTGCAGTGTGCAACATTTTCAGGTGATCCACAGTCATCTGCAGGATTTCTGCTTTTTCGAGTTTAGCGGACCCCTAGATGAGAGAACGGTAATGATTGATTGGGCCCCCAATCCGTTTGGGGGAAATGAAAAATGTGCCTACGTGTATGTGTCTATGTATGTGGGTCCATATATGTATAAATACGCATATGCTCTCAAATGCCTTGTAAATCATTAAAGTAAAAATGTTTTTTCCTCAAGGAAAATGTTTGGAAATCATCACGGCTCTTTTGCAAGGCAGGCTGAGGTGCAGATTAATGCCGGGAAGGTGCGGAGAGCAACTCGCGAGAACTCTACCTACTTTCTCCATTACCTGCTTCTCAAAAGCACTGGGTACCAGCCGCCTCAGCTCTGACAAACTGTTATTGATCCGGTCTCGTCGGCGCTTCTCAATGATCTGCAGAAAGCAGGCAAAACAAAGGAGGGCATTTGCATCAGGACTATTAAATTCCATGGGGGGGGGGCGGGGGGGTGTTAAAAAAAAAAGGTATTTCTTTCTGAGAACGCTACAACACAAGGAACACGATAAAGAAGACTTACACCTCTCCGTCTTTTCCTGGCCAAGATCTGTGAAGATGTAGTTGGGGACATGGAACCTAGGGCCGAACTCAAGTTTCTAGATGGAGAGGGGAAAAAAAAAATCGCCGTTAATCAAGGGGAAGTGATGGAGCGGGGTTGGGTGGGTGGAGAGGGGGGAAGGAGGGGTGGTCCCCGACCCTCCCCGCACGCTGCCCCCCGTTCCGGCCAGCAGGGCTGTGAACCCCCCTGGGGGCTGCTCGGCGCGGGCCGGCCCGGGACGCGCAGAGGTCAGCGAGGGGCAGCGGCGTGCCGGGGCCCTGGCCCTAAGCCCCCGCCCCAGGCACCGATCGCCGCCGCCAGCTCACCCATTCTCATCGGCGCTCTCCTTCTCCACCTCGATGGTCTCGTCTAGCTCGCTATCCGACGAGCTGGAGTCGGGGTGGGCTCGCTTCATGCTGGCTCTCCGGAGGGGGGGAGGAGGAGGGCGGGCGAGCGGGGAGGAGTTCACGGCGGCGGCGGCGGCGGCGCCTCTCCGCGCTCGGCTGCTCGCGATCCGCACGCACTGCGCCCGCGCTCCGTCCGGCCCGGGTTAAAACTCAACCATCCCTTTCCCACGCTGCGCCCCGGCCCCGGGCCCGCAGGGGAGGGCGGGCGGGCGGGCGGGGAGGGGCGGGGGGGCGGGGCGGCGGCTCCCAGGCAACGGCCGCGCCGCGGGCCAATGAGGGCCCCGCGCCGCACTGATTGGCAGCCGCCCCGGGGGCGGGGGGCGGGGCCTGGGGGAGTGGGGCGGGGCGGGCCCCAGCCCGGCGGCGGTGCGTCGGCTCCGCGGGGGCTCGGCGGGCGGGGCGGGGCGGGGCGGGGCGGGCCAGGCGGCGGTGGCGGCGGCGCGGGCGGGCGGCGGGCCGGCGGGGGAGGCCGGGCCGGGACACCAGCCCGCCGGCGGCCGCGACCCCGCCCCGCCCCGCGCGCCCCGATTGGCCTGGCCGCGCGCCAGGGCCGCGCCTGCAGCGCCGCCGCTGAGCCGCACGCGCCGCGGGCCGTGGGAAAGTGCCGGCGCCGGGGCCGCCAGCCAATCCCGGCGGCCGGCGACGGCGACGGCGGCCGCGCCGGCGGCGGTGGCGGCGGCGGCGCTCGGCATCCGCATGAATGGAGAAGAATGGGCCCGGCGGGGGCGCGCGGGGCCGGTGTGAACCTGTAACCGGAGCCCGGGGCCCCCGGCGCGGCCCCGGAAGCCGCCGCCGCCCCGCGCCGCACCGCGCCGCGGTCAGTCTGGGCCGCGGGAGGCGCGCGCGCCGCGGGCGGAACTGGGGCGGCTGCACCTGGCCCGGCGGCGCGCCGGCGGCTCGGCGGGCGCTTCCGGGCGCGGGGGGCGGCCGCGCGCGCCCGCGCGTGCATCCCCCGGGAACAGCTTCGGCGGCGGGCGGGCGGCTGCGGCCGCGCTCGCTCCCGTGGGGGATCGGGGGTGCGGGGGACTTCTGCGCGCCGGCCCCCCACCCCCACCCCTGGCGCGGAAATGAATGAATGCCCGGGTGCCGATCGGTTTCCCGGGAAGTTTTTAATTAAAAAAAAAAAATCGTTCTCTCTGCCCTTGGGTGAGGGAATTTTCGCAGTGGGGTGTTAACTGTCTTTCTGATTTTTTTTTTGGTGGGTTTTTTTTTTTTTTGGTTGGCTGTTGTTTCCAGGCGTTCGCAGCCAGATTTTCAGTGGGAGACAGGGTGGCGCTGAGCCTTGTTCTGCTCCAGCCGCCTGCACTGCGGGAATGCACGTCTGACTCATGCACACACACACGCACGCACACGCGCGCACCCTCCGGCCTGCAGGGACTTGGCGAGCATCGGGCTACGTGAAGTTTCGCAGGTCCTCTGAAGACTTGGGGGAATTTTTTTTTTTAAGGATTGTATGTCTAACACTGATTCGAGGAGTTGTTGTACCCGGGGGAGGGGTGGGGCGGGGAGGGTGAAATTTGGAATCCAGAATCCAGTCTTCTTCTCCCTTCCTAAACTGCAGGGCAGTTGGTGTTCGCCCGGATTCGTCCTTGTGGCAGCTGACCCTTGCAGTCCTTTCAAGTGAGGGAACGCTTGATAAATATGGTTGAGAATGACACAATTGTTCTCATCCTTGCACACGGTTCCTGCGGTTTCTGGCCCCTGTTAATTATTGGTCACAGTGTCATCTGAACATGAATGGGTGATTCAGCTCCTGACCCCACACGTCACCTGCTGGTTCCTTCTCAACCTTCTCAGCTTCTCCTTCTGGTCTCTGCTCACCTGCCCACCCTCTACCAGCCATTACTGATTTGCTCTTAGTGGCAACTCAGAACCCCTTGTTCTCTGATACCCCACCAGCGGTTTCCTCCAGGTCAAACACATCCTCTCTTCCCCCATATTCCCCCATTTCTTTTGCTCATAGGTAATGGGAAGGAGGTGGGAAGGAGGGAGTGGAGAAGTTACTGCCATCATAGAATGTTCAAGCACCTCCCCACCTTGGTGTCCTCAGCGTCCAAGGCCACCTGTCTCTCCCTGCTGGTACCCAGACTTGTGAAACAGCCCATCTACTCCCCTCACCCAGTCCCATTTCTTCCTCTTCAATTAGCGAACTTCTTCCACCAGAAGAAATCAGAGTGTCCAGTGAGTCCTCTGTGGTTCAGTAAGCCACAGGGACTAGAAGCAGGTGGAGAAAAGACAGAGCACACCAGATCACTTTGTGATCGGGGAACAGAAAAGCACAGCGTCTACTATCAGCTCTCCTAACTAAGGTCAGCCATCAGACTGCCTGGTTGTTTGCACAGAAGAAACAGTTTCTTTGGAAACCTAGTAAGCAACAGTGTGGCTAGCCCAGCGAGGAAGGGGCACAGTGCAGCCAACAGGGAAGGAAAGATCTGAGTGGACAGATTGGAGTCTCTGTGGAAGGAGGGGCTTTCTAAAGTTGCTGTTGGTGTGATAGATAATCTTGGTGGAGGGGAAAACCTTCGAAACAGCATCCAGGTAATGATGCAGAGTTGGGACAGGGTCCTCAACAGCACCCCCACCATTTTGTCCCTCCCAACAAGGGCCTGGGCGGAGTGAATTCCATCCTAAGCATTAGTGAGACACTGGCCAGGCCAGGCTGAGAATTTAGAAAGGACCCACAATCTACTAGGCCGGCAGGAAGGGTTCAAAGTCATATTTTGAGCATGCATAGGACCTTGTTTCTACTCAAACATTAGTGGAGCCAGGCAACATTCCGTTTACAAGAAGGAAAAAAAAATAGTGAAAGTGTTTGGACTCCCTACCCAATGCACTGAAATCTCCCTTACCGTGCCAACACTGCCATCAAATTCATATGTGAGAACTCTGACCTCCATGAAAGCCCCACATGAAAATTATGTAAACAGGGGGTCATGACTTGATACTAGGGGTCTAACTGGACAGGAGGTCACAGGAAGGAAACAAGGTCAGAAGGGGGTCATGGTCTAACAAAGGTCCAGAAACACTGTTCTGGATGATCCATTTGTCTTTGGCGAGAGAAACTTAGCTCGAACAGAACCCAGTGGAGGAGAAAGCAGATCTCTTGGTCCCAACTGTGTCTACCAAAAAAATGATGAGATGTATCCAGCTAGGTATGTGCCTTTGGAATCAACAGTGTTCTCTCAAATAGCAAGGACTTTGTGCTTTCCCCCTTAATTCACAATGTATTAGAACTTCTGAATTGAGTGCCTTGAATTTGAGAACAGTTTTGTTGTTTATGGTAATGCTATAGTGTTTGTTTTCTGAAAGTCTCGGTCTCTCTTGAGAAACTATGGACTCTCAACAGACATTTCCCATGGGAAGGGCTCCATCCAGCAGAAAGGAAGCCATTGTTTCCCTCTGTCAAATGAGACATTCGGGAATCTGGAACCCAAATAAATGAGCAAATAAAAGATAAAAGCATAAGGGAGGTCATCCTTCCAATCCACAAAGGCAAAAGAATTAAAAAGTAGGTGGACATTTACAATGGTAGTAATAGAACTTAATTATATATACATTAATTCTATAAACAGTGAAACTGTTCCTCCAGGGCCTACTCCAGAGCTTTGTATTGAACTATGGTTCATATGTGCCTATATATATATATATATATACACATATATATACTAATTCATACCTTATATATATATATACTAATTCATACCTTAGTACTACACTATTTAAACCAGAGGTTCTCAAACTTTAGCAATTTTCAGAACTGCTAAGGAACTTCATAAAACACAATTAGTAAACTCAGCCAAGGGGTTTCTAGGTGGCCCTGAACGGTAACTCTAGAACGAGCTCAAGATTTATATTTCTGGGTGGTGGAGAGATAGTAGAGTGGGTAAGAAACTTTCCTTGCTCATGGCTGACCTGGATTAGATCTCCAGCATCCCATATGGTCCTCTGAGCACCACCAGGAGGGAGTGAACCCAGAGTGCAGAGCAAGATGTAATCCCTGAGCACTGCCGGATGTGGCTCCCAAACAGAAAAACAATGATGTCTATTTCTGGGGCGAAGGAGAGAGCTCACGAGGTAGAGCACTTGACCAGAATGAGCTAAGTTCTAAGTTCGATCCTTGGCACCGATGCTCCTCCATACTCCTAGGTCCCAGACTGCACCTCCCAGCTGAGTATCACTGAGTATAACCACAGGCTTCCCTGCCCCATGAATCATCCAGAGAGGCCCCTATTTAAAAAAAAATAAAACTTGGGGGCCTGGGATCAGAAGTGCATGCTTTGCCTAGAGTTTGATCCTTGGCACCACATGCCCACCTTGAGCTTGGAGAGTCCAGTAGTCCTCAGTACTGCTGCGCCGGGCAATTGTGCAATGCTGGGCTCTGGTATTAAGCCACCTGACCACCCTGAGTATCACCGAGTCCCCATGCCCTCTGAGCTTAGGAGTCTCCACCCTATCCTCCCCCAAAAAAAACATATTTCAAACAAATCCTAGGTGATACTGTTGCTTGTTCTGTATGCATTTGGAAATACGGCTTGCCTTTCTAATTTCCAACCACATATTCAAACCATCTGAGGAGGTGCTCTGATTTTTTTTTCTTTAAGAAACATTTACTTATACTGTGCCTCAAAACAACCAGAATCTCAGGGAACAGAACTGAGGTATCAGCATTTTTTCTAGGTTCTCGGGTGATTTTGATATTCTAAGTGGTGAATTTCTAGTTAGATCAGTAATTTTCCAAGTTTAACAAAGAAGTGTCAGAATCATCAGGAGGATTTGCTGTCACTTCCTCTGATTCAGTAAGTCTGAGCAGGTCTGAGAAAAGGCCCATCAATCAAGTTTCCAGAAGATGATGCTCTTGATCTCATAACTACACTTGAAGAATCATGGATTACTTCAACCGTCTCGGCACTGGTTCCTGCTGGGGAGTCTGGCAGATAATAATGAAGTTACCCTTCTCCCTGTCACTTTCCAACTCAGCAAAAACTGAGTACTGGGACATCATTTGTTTGTGATGGTGTCTGAATAAGGA